GATGAAACTGGAGCCTATTATACAGAGTGAAGTAAGCCAGAAAGAAAAACACCAATACAGTATACTAGCACATATATATGGAATTTTAAAAGATGGTAAATATAACCCTATAAGCAGGACAGAAAAAGAGACACAGATGTATAGAACAGACTTTCGGACTCTGTGGGAGAAGGCAAGGGTAGGATGATCTGAGAGAATAGCATTGAAACATGTATATTATCAAGTGTGAAACAGATCACCAGTCCAGGTTGGATGCATGAGACAAGTGCTCAGGGCTGGTGCACTGGGAAGGTGCAGAGAGATGGGATGGGGAGGGAGGTGGGAGGGGGGATCAGGATGGGGAACACATGTAAATCCATGGCTGATTCATGTCAATGTATGGCAAAAACCACTACAACATTGTAAAGTAATTAGCCTCCAACTAATAAAAATAAATTAAAAAAATTAAAAATTAAAAAAATATAAAACACCATTGGGAAAGCCATGTTAGACTAGAAGAAAATATTGACAAGATAAACTCTACAACTCAAAAATAAGACAAACACCGTATTATTTAAAAACGGGTAACAGACTTGAGTAGATTCTTCACCAAATATATTGTATGTACATGAATACATATGCACAAGAAAGATGTTCAACACTGATAGTCATCAAGAAAATACAAATTAAAACAATAATGAGAAGATATCATCACCAGAGAAAGGTTGAAAACCTTAAGACTGATTTTACCAAGTTTTGGAGGGAATGTAGAACAATCTGCAATTTTAAACTTTGTCATGATGTAAAATGGTAAAATCATTTGAGAGTTTCTTTTAAAGATACACCTACCAGAAATTCCATTCAACTGTTTACTTAAAAGAAATACAAACATGTGGCTACATCAAGACTTATATACACAAATAATTATAAATATTTCCTATCTCCAAACTAAAAATCATCTCAATGTCCATGAGCAGGTAAATTAATGAGCTGAAAAGTTTGTATGAGTACTACTCAGTAACAAAACAAGACATTAAACTATAAAACATGCAAATATACAGACAAGTTTAAAAAGCATACTTAGGCAAACAAAGCCAGCATACACAGTATGATTCCAGTTATATAAATTTCTAGAACTGACAGTATTATATTAGAGTGGTTGCCTGATGCTTGGGGCAGCAAAGAGTAACTGCAAATGGGATTGAGGGAACTTCCTGGTGGTAATGAAAATGTCGTCGTGATTGGGCTCCCCAAACTACACACAGGCTTCCCAGGTGGCGCTAGTGGTAAATAATCCGCCTACCAATGTAAGGAGACACAAGAGACGTCGGTTCGATCCCTGGGTCAGGAAGATCCCCTGAAGTAGGGCATGGCAACCCATTCCAGTATTCTTGCCTATGAAATCCCATGGACAGAGGAGCCTGGGGGACTACAGTCTGTGTGGTGGCAAAGAGTCAGCCACGACTAAGCACACACACACAAACTACACACATGTAATAGAATCCCTCAATGAAGTTTATTTGAAAGGAGCTCTCAAGTTTCTTTAGTTTTACTGAAAATCAGTGAAAATACACAAATATGGTACCAGGCTTCTTGGCCAACTTGGGTAGGTATCCATTTCCAGCAAGAACAAGATTAGTCAGAAAGAGCAGTTACTTTATTGACTAACCATATCTTTCTTTCTAATCTTTCATTTAGATTCCTCTGATGTCAATTTTTATGTTCCCCAATAAATTAAGAGTAAGAAGAATAACAGCATATAAGTGAAAGAAGAATAATAGCACATAAGACAAGAAACATTAGCCATGTTTTTTATACTGCCTGCAATGGATACCCAATGATCTCATCTCACAGCAATGCCACTGCTATGGTCTGAATGTTTTTGTGCCTCCAAAATTTTTATGTTGAAAATCGAACTCCCAATATGGTGGTATTAGAAGGTGAGACTTTGGGAGGTCATTAGGACACAAGGGGAAATCCCTTATGAATGGAATCAGTGCCATTATAAATTATGAGACCAGAGAAAGCTTCCTTGACCATTCTACCATGTGAGGTTATAGCAAAGCAGGCCCTCATTAGACACCAATTCTGCAGACACCATAACCTTGAACTTCCCAGACTTCAGAACTATAATAAAATGTTTGTTATAAACCACCCTGTTTATATAATTTTGTTTTATGAGCCAAAATGAACACAGTCATAGACCTAATGTCACTTGGTTTCCAGTTAGGTGAATCTTAGCTTCTTCATATTGCCAGTTGTCATCAGAACTGACATTTGAAAACATATTGTGATTTATAGTAGCAATAGGCAGTAGTTCTAAAATAAACCAGAGCATGTCAATTCATAGTATCTCCTTATAAATTATACATATTATAGTTTAAAACAGTACATTCTTAACCATCATTGTATTTTTAAGAGAACCACTTGAAGTAGCCTTCCTCGAAGGAGATCACATTAAGAATCTTAGATTAAAAATCTCAATATTGGCTAGGAAGTTTCTGTTGTATTTTTCTATGAATATTATTAAATTTCTTATTTTTATCTAGAGCAGATTACCTTTTAGTCAATGACATTTTTGTTGATCTTGTCAAGACTAAACTTTTATTTCCAGAGAAATACAATTTAACAGAAAATCTGGGAACTTTAAAGTAGGAAACAGTATTTGAGGTTAAAAATATCACTGTTGAGTGAAAAATGAAGTCTATAAGTTGCCAATTATATATCATAAATTCATTTTTCTTATTAGCATGAAATATAAAGAAGCCAATATTATCTCATAAAAATTAAAGAACATTTAAATATTTATATTAGAATAGTTAGGTATAAATTCAATAAGTATTTTAATATTAAATAACTCAAGTTACCATAGTATTTTAAATATGTATTCCTAAAATGTTTAAAAGAAAAATAACAGTCAAGAATAATGAGCCTTTTTGAGGAAACAATATTCCATTATCTTTATTAATCTACTCATTCAACAAATATCTGTTGGTTGAACACCTACAATGTCTCTAGGAGGCACTGTTGAGAAGCTTAGGATTCAGCAATGAAAAAAGAGATAAAGATCTCCACCTGCATGGGGCTTATATGCTGGCATGGAGAGAAAGGCATGAATAACATGGTAAATTAGTAAACTGTCTGATATAATAGAAATTAATAAATGCATTGAGAAAAAGGAAAAAAGATGAAAAGCAAACCAAAGTAAGAGATATCAAGAGTGAAAGAATTGTATGTATGAAATCCTCATACCCATCAACTATTTTCCCATCACACCAGTATTTTTAAGATATTTTCAGCACAAAACAGATGCTAAGAATGCATTATCCATAGGTGACCTCTGACCCAAGACTTGTGACACAATAAACATTCCTTTAAATTGCAAAGTCCCTTGGAATTCCAATTGAATTACAGCTCATTGAGTTCTTCATATCTTATGTATCATGTGAAATGGTCATAAGAACAGTTGAGTTCAAAAATTACTGAATATCTATAACTTCTGTTTTTCTGTGGGTCTTTTTCATGTAAAACAGTTGAGTTAAAATTATAGTATCATTGGAGAAGGAAATGGCAATCCACTCCAGTATTCTTGCCCGGGAAATCCCATGGACAGAGGAGTTTGCCGGGCTATAGTCCATGGGGTCACAGTCAGACACAACTTAGTGACTAAACAACAACAACAAAGATATCTATTTATACATTTATACTTATATAAATTTCTAAGGCCTATGTGTGTATATATGTCCACAATTCCTTTTTTTTAATATTACAATTTTTAAAAATTTGAAGGCAAACATGTTTTCTTATAATCCATTTGGTTACTAAACCTGAGACGACCTGAATTTATTTGCTAGTGAAATAAAGACTGTTTATCTGCTCCCCCCACCAAAAAAAAATTTAGTATCATTTATTTCTCTGCCCAAGAAGTGAGGGAAATCATAAGACACTATCCAGTGCAAGGTTAAAGGAAAAAGATGAACCTTGCATTGGATAATACCTTATGATTATGACTGATAATAACATGAGTTTAAGTTTTCTGATTTATGATTATGACTTATGACACATTAGTCAACTCTGGCAAATTTAGAATATCAGTAGATAGCCTCTGCGTCCATCCATGTTGTTGGAAATGGCAAGATCAAATTCTTTTTTATGGCTTAGTGATATGACATTGCATATATAAACACCATATTTTATCAATTAATCCACTGATGGATTCTTAGGTTGTTTCTATATCTTAGCATCTGTAAATAATGTTGCTATGAACACTGAGGTGCCTCTATCTTAAATGCCTTCTTTGGATAAATACCCAGGAGTGAAACTACTGAATCATAAGGATCATATTTTTAATTTTTTGAGGAAACACCATACTGTTTTCCATAGTAGTTTCTCCAATTTACATTTGAATCATCAGTGTACAACCCTTTCTCAACATTCTCACATATCCTTGTCTGTTTGATAATAACCATCTGAACAAGTATGACAGGGTATCTCCTTGTGGCTTTGACTTGCATTTTCTTGATATTTAATGATGTTGAACATTTTTTCATGTGCCTATTGGCTTTTTGTATGACTTCTTTGGAAAAATGTCTATTTGGGTATGATGCCGAGGTTTTAAATCAATTTTTTTTTTTGATGTTGCGTTCTACAAGTTCCTTGTATATTTTGGATAAAAATGTATCATTTAGAAGTATCTTCCTGCATTAACTTTTCAAGTCTAAGTTATAAAGACTAAGTAATCTTAATAAAATTAAACACTTCTAATTATTTAATAATAGAAACATTTGGGAGAACAAAAAAAATCGTGATTGTATTAGATGAGACACAAAGAATTTTAAGCTAGAGGTGTGTGTGTGTGTGTGTGTGTGTGTGTGTGTGTGTGTGTGTGTTAGCCTTTCAGTTGTGTCAGACTCTTCGTGACTTCATGGTCTATAACCTTCCAGGTTCCTCTGTCCAGGGAATTCTCCTGGCAAGAATGCTGGAGTGGATTTCCATTCCCTTCCTCAGGGGATCTTCCTGACTCAGAGATCAAACTTGGGCCTCCCACACTGCAGGCAGATAGATTCTTTACCGTCTGAGCCACCAAGAGGCTTGGCATCCCCACGGACAAACAGCTGAAAATGTAGCCCCTTCCCCCTTTGCTGCATCCAGACCTCCAACTCTATCCACTCCAGATCTTTATGTATTTTTGGCTTTAACTTTGCCTTCTTTTCTACTACGAGATAATAATCAAACAGGACAGTTATGAGGATGAACAGGTGATCAAAGTAGAAGGCAACAGAGTGTAACAGGGCAGAAAGTTCTGTGCAGCTATGAAACTTAGGGTCTACCTTCTGGAGTGAGGATCGAAATGATACCATTCTTGAGAACTTAGTCACAGGAATACACTCATGTTCACCACACTATGTCACTTTTAACTTCACAGTAAATGCATGTGAGGTTAACTTGTCAACTCAAGTCAAACATATAAGTGTTCTTGTTTTTTTGCCAAAATCATGAGTTTTAATTATCCTCATATTTATTTCAAGAATTTCTTTAAAAAAATAATAAAACATGATGTACTCTCAGCCAAACAGCAAAGGCCTTCATTGTCTCATGCATGGAGTACAGAAGGTTTAAGTCTACTGTATCCTCCACATTCTGTGTCCAGATTAGCAAGGAATTCCAGATGTACAATATTAGTTGTACAATCTGTGGAACTGAACTGGGCAGGAAACTGAGGATCAAAACAAGAGTAGAATCTTACTGAGTAAAGACAGTAAGATATGTGGTGCTCCCCTTTTGTATCTCCTGAAACTAGAGATGTCTGTTAAGAGAAAGGCACAATCTTGGCTCAGATACAAGTTCTGGGTAGCTTTGGAAGTGAAGCAAAGTGAAGTGAGTCACTCAACCATGCCCGACTCTTTGTGACCCCGTGGACTTTACAGTCCATGGAATTCTCCAGGCCAGAACACTGGAGTGGTTAGCCTTTCCCTTCTCCAGGGGATCTTCCCAACCCAGGGACAGAACCCAGGTCTCTCGCATTGTGAGCAGATACTTTACTAGCTGAGCCACAAGGGAAGCCCGAGAATACTGGAGTGGGTAGCCTATCCCTTCTCCAGCGGATCTTCCCAACCCAGGAATCAAACCAGGGGTCTCCTGCATTGCAGGTGGATTCTTTACCAACTGAGCTATTAGGGAAGCCTTTCCCAGCATCAGGATCTTCTCCAGTGAATTGTCTCTTTATATCAGGTGGCCAAAGTTTTGGAGCTTCAGCTTCAACATCAGTCCTTCCAGTGAATATGCAGAGTCGATTTCCTTTAGGATTAACCGGTTGGATCTCCTTGCAGGTCAAGGGACTCTCAAGAGTCTTCTCCAACACCACCGCAGTTCAAAAGCATCAATTCTTCAGCGCTCAGTCTTGTGGTCCAACTCACATCTGTACATGACTACTAGAAAAACCATAGGTAGCTTTGGGTACCACTGCAAATGGAATCAGTTGCACCTCTCTCACTGTTTCCATGGCAACTTGTACCTTCATAGAGTCCTTCTGTTGTGCCTCATGGTTAGTTATTCTTGACCCTTCTACTAAAGTGTACTCTGCTTGAACTCAAGGAGTCAAAATTGAAAGGGAGGTACACACATGTGTAGCCTCCCCACAGTATCATCATGGTACTTATCAGGATCATACTTTTTTTTAAAATCAAGGATGAATGTACATCCATACATCATAATTGCCAAAAGTTGTAGTTTACCTTATGGTTCCCTTTTGGTGTTGTCTATTTTATGAGCTTGCTGAGTAAATTACATATACCTTGAATTCCATATATCCAGCATTATAAAACCACATATTATATGGTGGTTCAGTGGGTAAAGAATCTGCCTGCAATGGAGAAGACACGGGTTCGATCCCTGGGTTGGGATGATTCTCTAGAGGAAGGGATGGAAACCTTCTCTAGTATTCTTGCCTGAAAAATCCCATGGACAGGTGGGCTACAGTCCAAGGAGATGCACAGAATTGGACACAACTGAATGATTAAGGACACACATAATACCATACAGAGTATTTTCACAGCTCTGAAAACCCTCTGGTGCCAGGATGAAGGCTATTTCTGGGATATCTGCACCCACCCAGTACCACAGCTTTCTCCAGGCAGCTCTACAGTTTCAGGAGAGATTAAACCCTTTTTCTGATGGAAAGAAGGAAGTAGGTACAATGTGTGTGTGTGCATCAGTGTATTTGCTCTGTAGGGGTATTTAATGAAAACTTGTATTTTATTTTGTCCTTTTCACATCTATGCTTGCACATTGAGCTTGGGCCATTCTGGGGTTCTTTGGGGAGCTTGGCTTTCACCTCCATTTTGGTTTCCTTATTGTCCGTCTTCATCACTAGCAGACTTCCATGTATGTACTTTCAGATTTGCAGAAAATTGTTACTGATTCCCCCATTATCAGCTATAATTTTCTTCACTTTCAAAGCTTCTTTCATTGTTGTGTTCCTTTATTGTTTCAGAAAGGAGAGAGAAAGGCATCCGAGCATGAGTGAGCACCTAGGAGCTCCCTTTTAAATCATAACTTCCTTTTGCTGACCTCAGGCTAGCTTGTGAGTCTCACGTTTCCACAGTTCCTTTCCTGTTGACCCACCCATGGCCAGTGTTCTCACATGCAGCGGTTTCTTGATAGTAGCAGAGAGGGGGTCAGATTCTTGGTTTCACACTTGGCTTCTGAAACTATCTGATGCATTGCTTCAGGAGAGTTGCTTCCAGCAAGTGCCTGAGCCAGGACACAATCAAGATTATTACCATCTTCTACCTTGCAGAGAAACCGGAGAGTGACTTCATGTGTTTTCAGTGCTGAAGCATTTCTAAAACGGTCTTCAGATTTTAAAATAACCTTCTCTGTTGTAAAAACCATAAGCAGACACAGGAAAATGCCAGCAGGCAGAGGTAAACTGAGTACATTCCAATGTTCCATCAACACATCTTGAAAATTCTTCATCCTCACTGGTGAGTGATTCCTGAACAACATCCAGAATGCTAGGCTTAGGGGCCAGCAAGGAAGAAAAACAGCAATATAACTTTCTAAATCCTGCCCCTTGGTAGAACTTATCCTCAGTGTTGATTTCATTATGATTTCTTTTTTTCTACCTCTCTGACTAAATGAGGACTTGATGAATCATTGCTTAATTAAATAACCATGAAACAGCGGGATGTATACCCTGGGCATTCTCAATGGGTGGGATGTGTTTTCACTTCATTTGGTTCATAGAGGAAAGGTGACTCTAAAGGGAAATTTTTTTTTTCTCCATACATTTTTTTTAAAAAACACATGCTACAGACACAGAGAGAAATAAAGGACTTACTTCACGAACATCAAAATATGCCTTAATTTTTTAAAGTGTTTACAGACAATTAACAAAAAAGTCCAACATTTAAACATCCCTTTATGTCTTCCCAGGATTTGGAATAACTAAATGAATCATTTCCATCCACGTCTGGCCTCTGTCTCTGGCAGAGAAACCAAAGGACTATTATGGGAGGGCTTGGTTATAGTCTTTGTTATTTGTCTCAGAAAAATAGTCAAAAAGCCAAAATACACTGATTTCTTTAATTCCCATGAGGATATGGGACACATATCCTCACAGACATACACACAGACACACACACACACACACGATCTAAAACTTTTTGTATTTTTTCAGTAGTTAATACTTTTAGGTAAAAAAATCTAGAATCCTATCGTTCCTTATAAAATAGTTTTTAAGCACTGGAAAAGTACAGACCGAGTGCTCAAACCATTCTTGTCCCTTTTCCTTTCATGTGTCTCTCACTTCCACGACCAATGCCTTGCGTGGGGTTCAGGTGTTAAGAACAACGAAGGTAAACCCTGTGATGTCTCTGTGATTGGAGTCTCTGCCCTCTCTATATGTCACCATCCACACTAATATGACCTTACCTGCAACATCTGTCCTTATAAACCTTCAGAGTTTAGCTTAATTTAATGTTCAGAGAGGCTTACTGTGGTCGTTCGCAAACTTAAATAATACATGAGACCATATCTGACGTGAATTCTGAAAAGGCCCTGCTTTTTCAGGCTACTTCATCTGGAGATGTACCTACTTGGTTTTAAAAATTATCTTTGTGGCAGTTATTTATAACAAATGTCTTCCCTTTCTCCACTTTGAGTTTTAAGAGCCATTATGAGTAGAAATTTGTTGATTTCTGAAGACAAGTTACTGCACTGCTTCCTCACACTGCCTTCTATTAAACTAGTTTATAGAACCATGTGTTTCCCTGGTAGCTTACTTTTACCAAAACCATTTAAATTCTTTACTGATTAATAAGAAGCAGGACCAGAAATTAGCAACACGAGGATAAAAATTTAAAAATCATCTGGTTCTAAAATTTCCCCTACAAAATAGAATGAAAAGGTATGAAGGGAGATTTAGGAATGGCACTAAGGTGTAAGATTAGCAGGATGAATGAGTCTGATGTACCCTGACTCTATGAATCAAAAAGGCCTGAATTTCTTGTCATATTTTCAGTTGAAAAAATTCCTGATATACATGTAGTCCAACAGGGGAGCAAGTTGCCAAGATACCCCTTTTCTTTAGAAGAACAGAAACTCCTTTTTACCTTCAGTGGTTTAGAAGTGGTTCTTCTTTTTTGGATAAAAGACCACAGAGACTTTATCCTATATGTAAACCTGATCCGCAAATTTCTGCTAGTTGTTGGAAAAACTAGAAAAGTTATTTTTGTAGGCATTCTGCTAAAATCACTCTGAAATAATTGTATCATTGGTTCACGAATTGGCCCCCCAATATGGAGGGTAAGGAGAGACCTATCCAGATTGGGAGGTGGCCATTCTAATAAGCAACTTAGGAGGCTTGCTTGTGCAACCGCTAACCCACCAGGATCTTTAAAGTTTCTATGAAGACCTTACCTGGGTTTACCCTGGAGGGTCTCCCCATCTTACTCTGTCATGGTTACCTCCTAGTGACAGGGCCCCCTACAGGAACAGTGGGTGCAAGATTTCCTAGGTTCAGCTCTCTGATCCACTCATCCTCCTCAATGGCCTCCTCCAACGCACTTGCTATTTGTGCTAAGCTGACTTGTTAGCAACCTGTATTTCCAAGATTTCTATCAGAGCACATCTCGTTCTGACAACTGTGAATGGTTTCTGTGATCTGCCTGATTGTACATCCGTGGTCCTTGGCAGAAAGGCAGCTTTGTCCATCATACACATGTCCCATATGAAATTATTCCAGACATGTTTACTGTCTACATATTGCCTTTTCAATGAATGCAGTTTATTTTAGTAACAGAGGTCCAGAAAGGGAGCAAGGAAAGGAGGGTTTTGGCTCTGGTCCAGCACCTGCATGGGAAAGCTAGGATGACACCTCACCTCCCTAAATTAGTTTTCTCTACAGTAAACTACAAGTATTGACTCAATACCTTCCCTTTCTTAGTTTAAATACCATGGAAGTTTTTCATCACAAAGGGTAAAACGTGTCTTCCTTGGTACATATGACTGAGTGCTAAAATATAATCCCTGTAAGCCCCACTACTGATGTCCTACGAATTCTTAAGCGTTATGACCAGAGTATCTGTGCTAGCTCATGGTGGCTGGAGCTCCCTCTTCCCAAGATGTCTAGTTACTTCTGGATTTCTCTTCCACTAAGGCCTGTGGTCCAATAGTGCATCTTTTGGAGGGAGAGAAATTACATTAAGTATTATCTTCACTTCAGAAACCACTGCCTATGAATACTTGGGGCTATCAAATTTGGCCTATAATTTGAAGACTTTCCTTTCCATTCTTTCAAGCAATCTATTTTAAGTTTAAAAAATTACATCAACTGATCAGATTTGCAAAAAAAACCAAACAAACCCACACATCACACTGACTGTCAATTTGAGACTATATTCCCAACATTAAGATGTCAGGTAAAAAAAAAAAAAAAATTCCAGAGTGGTAAATCTTATTAATTTTAAGTACTTGTTAAATAGTGGAAATATTTGTGTTTGTATCTAATTGTTTTCATCTAGATGACTGGCTTTAATTAAACAATTCTCAAATTTCAGGACAAGATGGAAGTTCACTTTATTTTTAAAGGATGAACATTTCCAATAAAGGCAATCTTTACAGCAGTTCAGGTTAGAGACTCAGGAACATTGCTATTCAACAAGAGAAAAACATCAAGAGCAAAAAGGAAAGTGTTTCTACTCAAACAAAACTTATGTCCTTAGCTAATTCAATTAACTTCTCAAACCCTTAGTTTTCACATCTGTCAAGGGGGCTATTATTAAATTCAATTCATGCACAGTTATTGAGGGGATAAAATGTGAGCTTAGAACAATTAAACATGTATTACACTCTGTTAAAATGCAAGGGCTATAGTTAAAGCATACAGTTAAGATCTGGGATGAGAATCAGTGACATAGTTTTGATCCCATTTAAGGCAAATCATCTACCCATCTGGGCCTCACATTCATCATCTATAAAAGAGGGAGCTACATTCAACAATGTAATTTTTCTATCAAAGATGGAATCTTATGTTGAACAACTGCAAGCTAGGTAAACTTATTTGATAAATGTGTGAGGCTGGGTGAAATGAGTGTCTTAGTCTCACATAGCCTGCCAAAGGCAGAACTTAATCCAGTGGGCCAAGCAACCTGCTAAGCTCTGAATTAAAAACATATTTAAAAACTTGTTAAAAGGGGCTTTCTCTTCCATTTCTCTTTCATCAATAAAACTTCATAATAAAACAAACAAAACTCTTTGAGGAATAAGAAACACAAAGTACATCAATCTGTGATGAGTTTACAAAACCAATCTCTAGTGTTTCATTAGCGAGTACAGATGTTTTCTTGCTTTTTTACCCCAGCACATTTTTCTTTTTTTTTTTTACAATTAAAATTTTTATTTTATTTTATTTTTTTTTCCATTTATTTTTATTAGTTGGAGGCTAATTACTTTACATCATTGCAGTGGTTTTTGTCATACATTGAAATGAATTAGCCATGGATTTACATGTATTCCCCATCCCGGTCCCCCCTCCCACCTCTCTCTCCACCCGATCCCTCTGGGTCTTCCCAGTGCACCAGGCCCGAGCACTTGTCTCATGCATCCATCCTGGGCTGGTGATCTGTTTCACCCTAGATAATATACATGTTTCGTTGCTGTTCTCTTGAAACATCCCACCCTCGCCTTCTCCCAGAGTCCACAAGTCTTTTCTATACATCTGAGTCTCTTTTTCTGTTTTGCATATAGGGTTATCGTTACCATCTTTCTAAATTACATATATATGTGTTAGTATACTGTAATGGTCTTTATCTTTCTGGCTTACTTTGCTCTGTATAATGGGCTCCAGTTTCATCCATCTCATTAGAACTGATTCAAATGAATTCTTTTTAATGGCTGAGTAATATTCCATGGTGTATATGTACCACAGCTTCCTCATCCATTCGTCTGCTGATGGGCATCTAGGTTGCTTCCATGTCCTGGCTATTATAAACAGCCCAGCACATTTTTTCAACATGATACGTATATCCCCACTGTCCTGTGTCTCCATGACACAGACAATAAACACAGTTTGGCACAATAATTTAAACAGTCCATGCAAAACCCACTACTTGAATGTAACCTATTTTTATAGCAAATTACAGGAAATATGGGGAGATATATATATATATATATATGCACATACTATTTACTCATCAATTTATATAAATTCATATTCATCTGTTTAATTTGCTTTAAGAAACTCTTAAGGGAAAACAGCACAAACATTTACTCAGAGACACATTTTAGCATCTATGATTAGGATGGTATTTTTATAACTAACAGATTAACAAAATACTAATAAGTAATATCTAAGGTCAAGGTGCTTTCACAGGGCAAAAGAAAACTATCAGGGATTCTGATTTCTGGGCAAACCCCTTACGCCCTGACAAATGAACTCCTGCTAATATTTAACATCCTTCCTGAATTGCATTTAGTGGATGAAAAGTCTGTGCTAACCTTCCAGGAGGAAGTAGAACATCTACTTCTGTCTGAGAACTTAATGTCAGCAGCTAAGAAAGATATATTTGAGAACATATCACCGAGCACTTGGTGGCCCTAGTACC